TTCCTTCCTTCCATTCGGGGGAGGACCAACAGTTTGGGAGATTTTAAAAAGGAAGGGGGAAATGAAATTTACGCAAACTGCCATAAGCCACGCGCGCGTCTTCGCATTTGGCCTTTTTCAGCACCGCCCGTGAAGAGCTGCGTCGATGAGTCCTGGGGTCTTTGGAAGTCCTCTGGGTTGCGGAATACTAGTCCAGCTTCCACGCACTTCGTCGGCGAAGGCGGCAGAGGTAGCCGGGCCCTCCTGCGCTCCTTGCCGCGGCATTCCGGGGCAGGTCGCCCGCCTCTCTCCCAGCGCACCAGCTTCGCCGTCTGGGGCAAAGGATGCGCACACCCGATTCCACAGGGACGAGATACTTCCTCTTCACAGCCAGTTGTCTCTTTATCCATCACTAGGAGTGGGACGGGGGGGGGGGAGATGGGGAGAGGAAGAGAGAGCGAGAGCGAGAGCGAGAGAGAGACCACTCTTGCCCTGGGTGGGGGCGGTCGGCGTTATAAAAGGGCCTCCAGGATCTGACCATTTCAACGAAGGGCCATTTAAACGGATCCGGAATGAGAAATGCCACAGAAGACGTGAACGTTAATTGGATCCCCGCCAGGAGCCAGAGGTGGAAAGAGGGCCGTTTGGTGATGGAGCGCCCCCCCCCCCCATTCGCTGTCGCTGGAGCGGCGGCGCGCTCGCTCGGGGCAAAGCGACAATCCGAGGTCCGCTCTTGCTGGACGGGCGATGGAGGCAGGGCGCCTCGGAGAACCCGAGAAGGCGGCCTTGTGCGGAGTCCTGGCGGCGCAGCGCTCAGGCCAAGCCCCCTTCGCCCCCCGCGTGCAGCGCGGCTCTTCCCGAGGCCCAGGCGAGCGGGCTGCGCAAAGGAACTTCGCCGAACTCGCTCCCCGGTCACGGTCCCCGCGATCGGCCAGGCGGCTCCTCCGGCGGCGCACGGGCCTCCCTGCCTGCCCCTGGCATCAGCGCCGGCCCTTCCCTTCGCCCTCCCGGGCCTCGTCGACGCCGGGCAGCGGGCGCTGGGCCGGGCTTCTCTCCCGGTGGGCGCCTTGCTTTCCCGAGAGCGCGTGCGGGCCCCGGGTCGGGGGAAACGGCCCAAGAGGGCCCGGCGCCCCACGGCTGCAGGACCAAGGCCCCTTTGCCCCGAGGCTTCCCTTGCAGGCGCCCAGGCCCACTCCGGGCCCGGGAGGGCGTCTTGCCCCTGCCACACCGCGGCCAGCCGCCTCCCAAGAGAAGGCGCCCTGCCGCCCAGGCCCTCCGCTTCCCGGCCGGCTGGGACTTGCTCCGGCGCAGGGCTTCGTCAGGCCGCCCTCCACGACCGCTCTTCGGGCATAAGAAGGCGACTGACTCCGCACACCCGTCCCCTCCGCCCTTCCAGTCCCTCGCCTTTGCGGCAATGCGGGTTATTTATTGGCCTTCCACCTGTATAGGCCGCCTTTCAGGGGGGGACATCTCCCAAGGCGGCCTTAATAATCCATCATCATCATCACCATCACCATCACCATCACCATCATCACCATCATCACCATCATCCAATTATCGCTGCGACAGAAATGCCTGCACAGAGCGCTTGGCACGGGGAGACGCACTCCCACGTGGCCCGACTGCACCAGGGCTTGCAAGCTGCACCCTACTTTGTCCTACTCGATTGGTCCTACTAAAGGCGTCACGGTGGTTTCCTCTCTCAGAACATCAGACAAAATGTTTTGAAGAAAGACCAGGAGCGGGGCCTTCCGTTGCCACCCCGACACACCCGCACGTTCACACGTTCACACACAGGACTGGTCCCTGCTACGTGGGAATTAGCCACCTGCGATGCTGGAAGAAGAAGGCGAAAGGAACTGAGGGGGCGCCTTGGCTGTCAAGGCCGAGGTCTTGCTTCGAGGAGGGGCGCTCATCTCTCGCCTGCCCTTTTGAAAGCACTATCCAGGTCAAGATTCCCCGACGTGACACGCGTCGCAGCCACCCTCGGCTCGCTGCCAGCGTCTGCACACGACCTGCTTCGCCAGGCCGGAGGAGCAGGGAAGGAGCGGGCCCACCTGCCTCTCCGCGAAGCACCCGCAAATGCACCTTTCCCCAGCCTGGCCCCGTGCAAGCCCGGCCGTCTCCGCCCCTTCCTCACGTGAAACTCGACACGATGCTGGCCAGGTGAAGCACTTGAACAACCGGCCCTCGAGGCGCCCACGCAGGGGTGCAAACGGGCCCGGAGGGCGCCAGGCGATTGCCGCAAACTCTTCCCCATCCAGGGCTCCGCGCAAGCCGCTCTCCTGGACGCGGAGCCCCTGGCTTCCCGCGAAGGCAAGTGGCCGAACCCGGTCTTCGCGCGCAACCCCGCGGCAACACGCGCGTCCACCTCCGCCGCCTTGGCCATTTCCAGCGACACTTCCGGGGCTGCGACCCTCGAGCTCGCTGCGGAGAATTTCCCGGCAAACAGGCGCAGAGGATTCTACGCGGCGGGAAGCCGGAGGAATTGCGCTGCGACCCCAGGCAGCGCGCAGCACCAGGGGGAAAGCTCTGGCCTCCAGCTCCGCCGAAGCGTTCGCAGTTGGGTCCAGCCCGGGCCTGCTTAGCGCACACTTCGCGAAATCAGTGAGAAGCAGCCACGACTACCCCCTCGATGGCAGCGGCGCTACGCTTGGCTTTGCGTCCGAGAGCGGCTCCTTGGCCGGCCGAGCGCAAGGAGGGGGCCGAGCGAGGCGCGCCCCAGGTGCCCCGCTGCAACCTTTACGGGGACGCGCAAAAGACCAAGCCGTGGTTTTCCTCCGCACTCGCTCCCTCCGCAGCAGTTCCACCACCGGTCCTCCTTCCCACGGAAGGACGCGTCCAGCTCCAGAGGGGCGGGCCTTGCCCCGGGAGGGTCGGGTCGGGTCAGGCTTTGCGAAGCCACAAAGCGGACGATAGATCCCGGGCTCCCGGCCACGCCACGCCACGCCACGCCGAGGGGAGCTGGGGCCCCCGATCCGCCGCAATCTCGCTCTTTGCTTCCAGAGCAGAGGCTGGATGCGCTCCACACGCGCCGCCATCCGCCGCTACTCGAGGAGCTCCTTGCGCTGGGCTTTAAGGAGACCCGCGGCCTTCTCCTGGCCTCGCAATGTCAAGAGAGGCCATTCAGGTTTCCTGCAGGAAATAATAACAGGCAAAGCAACAACGGCGGCGGCGACAAGGACGACAAAGAGCAGTCCAGGGCTCCTCTTGGGCGCAGGCCCAGGCGGCCTCGCTGCCCAGGTCGGTGCCACCTCCAGCCCGGCAGGAAAACCGCCGCAACCTCGGGAGCGCTGACCCCGGAGCGCTCTCTCCCTCCCCACTCCCCGTTTTAAGCCTCCATAATGCCTCTCCTAGTTTGGCGTGATTGCCCCGAGCAGAACTGTTGGCTGTACTCGCACGCTGCCCCCTCTTCTCCCCTCCAGCTCCATTTTCAGCAAGGCCGCCCTTCCCGATTGCCATCCATGCTCCACAGTGCGAAGGCTTCACGAGGCCGGGCCTAGCGGCCGAGGCGGAAGGGGACGAGGCTGCGCTTCTTTCCGACACAGAGAAACAGGCAAACCCGCGGCGCGGCGGACGGGCGCCCGAGCCGAGCGCCAAGTGGGCTTGCAGAGGGGACGCGTCCAGCCCGAAGTCGCCGGTCTCGCAACATACATCAAGTGCGATCTCTTCCCGCAGCCCACCGGCGCCCCGGATCCTCTTTCCGGGGCGGGGGGGGGGAGTTTCAGGACTGACTTTCGGCTCAGCCCACGGCTGCTCAGCCACGCGAGTCACCCACCCAGGCGCGCATTCCGCAGCCCGCGCGTAAAGGCGCCAGGCCTTCTTTCCCGCGCGTGTCCGCACAGAGCCCTTCCCCGAGTCTCGGGCCGGCCTGCCATGCGCCGAGGGCCCCTCGCTCCCCGCGCCACCCGCATTAGTAGCCTGCAGCGCTCATTTCGTTTCTGCGCCGCCTCACACCCGCAGCTCCGAGCGTTCAAGGGCGCGCCGGAGCAGCCTCATCTTTCCAGGCAAAGCGAGGCTCGGATGCCGGCCTGACAGGGCAGGAGGCTGTCGGGCTGCAGCGTTCCGCGCCCCGGTCCGGCTGTTCCCGTGCCCTTGCCTGGACCCAGCGGCTGAAGCGCCGCCCGAGAGGCGAGCGCCCCTGAGAGGAAGGCCGGACAGGCCTCCAGCTCTCTGCCACGAAGGGCGCTCGCCTCCCGGCCACGCTCTGCAGTCCGGAGCTCGCCTCACCGGCCCGGCCGCCGCGCAGGTGCCTGGCGGAAGGGCGTCCCGGGCCGCCTGCGCTCCTCCGAAAGCACGAGGCGCGCCTCGCAAGCCGGAGGGGCCGCGCCGGCTGCCCGCTGCTGCGAGAAGCTTGCATCGGACCTGCTCAGCTCTGCCCGGTCCTGCCCTGCCCGGCGCGTCTCCTGTAGGGCGGCAGCCTCTGCGGGAGAGGCGGGAGGCCAGGCCCGCGGGGGTGGGGGCGCGAAGACGCCGGCAGCCCCACTTTGGCCAGCGGGGCCGGGGAACCTTCGCTGCAGCGCTGCCCGCGGCGACGGCCTTCCCAAAGTTCGCCTGGGAGGTCCAAAGGGGGCCAAAGCGCGCGCCTGGACGCCTCGCTTGGGCCTGGGAAAAGCTGCTCATGGACGACCCCCGGATCTGACCGCAGTTATTTCTTGTTTTAATTTGAAAGCAAAAAAGCCACCGGAGAACGAACCGCACGATGCCTTCCGAACGTCCCCTTGCCAGTCACAAGCACCCAGTCCAGCACCAGGAACCACCGCTGCCGCGGCAAAAAGCTTTCTTTTTCCCGAGACAATGCCGAGGAGGTTCAGCCGGCCCCCGGGCTTCCTAATTTAAAATGCCAGTCCCGACGGCAAAAGAGCAAGGAAAGGATACTCTGTCCTCTAAAAGGCAAAATATTGGACAATCAAACTTATTAAATTTAACCAACACTTAGGTATTTTCCCTCTTTTTGCTACTTTCCAACCAGGCTGCATTTAGGTATATTTACAACAGACTCCAGAAAGTGATTTCAAAAGAAAAGTAAAACCTTTTTAATACATCAAATATACGGAATTTTAATCTTTTAAAGCAATACATTGTCTATTGTTTTAAATACATGACGTCATCCTTGTTTCTGTCCCTTTTATAGGGTGGACTTAGAAATTAAAAAATAGTCAAGTGTTCCTTTTAAAGAACAAAAATAAGGCAAATGGAGGTTTTTGGAATAGAGTTGTTGGGTTTCCTTTTTTCCAGAATTCATACAAAAAAATACCAATTTTCTTTCTGCGATGGTATACGTCAAAAATAATTGCAATTTGAAATTCAAGCTGACAAATTGCAGATTAAGTGTTGCTGTTTTTAGGAGACATGCATTTAGGTGCTTTCCCACCCAACCCCAATGAGACATTAAATAAAAACGTACAATACAATCATATTAATTTTAAAGTAACATTAAAGAGAAGACCTCTATTTTTGTTTTCCTTTTATTTATTTATATTCTACAACGGGTGTTTCCACTTTAATTTTTTTTCCTTTAAGCCTATTGAGCTGAAGTTACGTAATGCACTTTTATTGATTCATTGTCCCGCTTGAAGCTAACATAAATAAATACAGTGCCCATGGATCCAGTCCTCAAGATGAACACTATCTTTATATAGATATAAAAAAGTCAGGTTTCAATTTTCTTTTGTCTGTCTGCATTTTTAAGAAAGTTTCGAGGGTCGCCTCCTGCTCTTCCCCCAGAAGCGTTGCTCGGCCTCTCCGGCTGCGCGCTCCCCCTCCCGCTCCGGCCGCAACACCCCCCGAGAAGCCCCCGAACACTCACTGGTATCCCAAGGCGGAGGCTGTAGTCAGTCTTTGCCCGTACAGTGCGTAAGGCGAGTAATAGGGTCCCGTGGCCGCGGGCACCGGCACGGGCGCGCCCGGGGTGGGCAAGGGGCTCTTGGAGTACGGGTGGTAGCGGCTGTTCAGTCCCAGGGCGTGGTGCGGGCTGCGCAGCGCCAGCGCGCCGGGGCTGCCCGGCGCGCCCGAGGTGGGGATGTGCATGTGGCAGGCCATGGCCGCGGCCGCCGCCGCCGCGCTGGCCAGGGACGTGGAGCCGGGGTAGCCGGAGAGCAGTTTGTCGGAGCCCGGGAAGGCCGTGTGAGTCCGCAGGTGGCTCAGCAGCTCCTCGGAGGTGGCGAAGCGCTTGTCGCACGGTCCGTTGGCCGACACCCAGTTGCAGATGTGCGGCTGCGGGTCGTTGGGCAGCATGAAGCCGTACGGGTAGAGCGGGTGGCCGGCGAGCGAGGGCGGCGTGGCGCCGCCGAGCGACGAGTGCACCGAGTGCAGCGGGTGCGCCGGGTAGACCAGCGGGTAGCCGGGCTTGAGCGCCTGCTCGTGGGCGCACGAGGCGCCGGCCGCGCCGGCCAGGTGGCTGGCGCAGTGGTAGCTCAGGCAGTAGGGGTCGCGGCACAGGCTGGCCGTCATCACCGAGGGCGGCGAGGCGCCCGCCAGGGGGCTGGAGCCGGCCGCCTTGCTGCAGCCCAGGCTGCCGGCCAGCTGCGCGCCCACCAGGCTGCCCGACTTGGTGGGGTCGAGCGCCACGCCGTGCGGCAGGAACTGCGGCGGGTAGCCCGCGTAGGCGCCGGCCAGCGTCCCCGGGTAGCTCATGCCGGCCGGCGGCAGCGGGAAGACCGTCTGCCCGGGCTTGTAGGGCGACACGGGCGCCACCAGGCCGGAGCTCAGCACCGAGGCGGCGGCGGCCGACGACGTGGCCGTGCTGCTGCCGCTGCAGCCCGAGTCCGAGGAGGCGGACGACGCCGCGCCCGCCGCCGCCGCCGCGCCCGCCGCCGCCGCGCCCGCCAGCAGGCCCTTGGCGCCCTCGTGGGCCGGGCCCAGCTC